GCATGCCCGACAGAGGGAGCTCACCTGTGGGACTTACCAATACATTTTATGCTGAACAGCGCACTGTCAGGATGAAAGACAAAACAACCAGCAAGAATCTAAAGATGAGGTTTCACTGTGCGCTCTGGGGCAAACGGGGCCTGGGAAGCTGCTCTGCTCTGTGTCTCCTCCATGCAGCGCCTGGTGATGAGGCCCACGCTTATCCAGACATCAAACAGGACATTTTAAGATGCCTCTCTGATAACTTTACACCAACCGGTAAAGGCCTAAAAAATCTGAATGCACCTTTAACTTAAGAAACCTATCGCCCCCCCTCCCCGAGAGCCCCACGTGGCCTTCCTGTGGTGCAGCCTGTTGCAGCATCCCTGGGAGCAAGAAGAGACGCAGCCCTCAGCCAGCGGCTCCGTCCTCTGAAAGTTCCAGAACACCTGGAAAAGCCTTGGCGAGACCTCAGATTTATTGCTTGACGTTAATAGCCAGGCTGGATTTCTTTTCCTCCATAAATTAGAAAAACTAACTAAGATATACATGCCTACATAAATACAGTCCTCTGCACGGGGCTCTGGAATACACAGGGGCGTTCGGCCCGGCTGCGGCCTTTATTTACATCCCGGAGCGCCGTCAGCGAAGTCCCTAAATTAAGGAGGAAGAAAAGGGGACCGTGTGCGGCTGCGCAGCAGAGCAGGGCGAGAGTTACGGAGGATGCCCGGTTACCTCCTGCCCCGGGAGCCCAGGCCGGTCCTTCCTCCAAAGGAGACGCAGCCAATCAGCCCGGCAGACGGGCCCGCGCAGCACCCGCGTCCCGAGCTGCCTGGCGTGTCTGCGGCGCGATGAACGCGCGCAGCGGAGAGAATCAAGCGCCTGCCGTGGCAAAGACGCGGGAAGAGCCGAGTTAGCTCTGCGGTCAGGAAGGCTTTGGAGCCCAACGCAGAGACTCACACCGGAGAGGTCCGGGCCGTGGGCGGTCCCGCCGGCGTCTGAAGCTTTGTCATCATCAGCCCAGGGTGGCTGACGGCAGTTGGAGTCGGCGAGTGGGCAGCCCGGCCGGCCTTCCCTGGCCTTGCCCTCTGTCCCCCTGCCGCCGCCGGCGGTGGCCGTGACTGAGGCGGTGGCCGCGACCGAGCTGTGCCTCCTGTCTCACCCTCTGCACTCGGCTGTTCTCAGTGGTGGCGGCGGGGGCCCTGCTCCCCAGAGCCCGGCCCTGCCTGATGTTTGGCAACACTTCTTCTCATGAAAAAAAAGGCCCGAATTTTTAAAAAAGCTGTTTTCCAAAAAAATTTTAATCTTAAATATATAATATAAATTACTGGTTGCTGATACATGAGCGATGACAGAAACTCTAAAGAGAAAATATCTCCGTATTTCCATTCCCCAGGTAAAATCTTTTTAACATGGTGCTGAACATTTTCAAGCCCTTTTGCAGGAAACCGTTTCCGGAATTGAGGGCTAACTTCGTCTGTGTAGGAGGCGTTTGCTTACACATCGAACCACAGAGCGATGTCAATACAGTGCTTAGGGGCGGGAGACCTGGAGTCCGGGTCAGGGAGATTTAGATTTGGACCCCAGATCTCATGCTGACCAAGTGATGCGGTTTCTCTCAGCATCACCTGGCTTCCGGCGAGGCCGAAGGAACGGGCCGCACGTACCCTCCTGCTGGAAAAAATTAGGCAATGGCACAAATGTATGGAAACGAACCTAATTCCAGAAATAGGGCAACAGGAAGCCCAAAACCATGGTCCCTGAAGTGAGCCACGGGGCCCCTGGCTTTCTGTCCTCAGGCACTGCCCAGGTCAGAGAGGAGGAGGGAGGACACGCCCAGGACGTGGCCGCGGCACCGAGGCGAGGGGATGGGCGGACTGCGCCGCGGCACGACAGGGCTTTGGAGAGGACGGAGCCGCGAACCGAAGGCGAACCGAAGGCGCGCTGGACGCCTGCCTCGGACACCTGTCCCGGGGGTCCCGTCCGGCGGGACTCAAGCAGAGAGGGAGGACGCTGGCGCGCCACCGTCCACAGGAGCGACTTTGTGACCACGCGGCGCACCAGGCGAAGGTGTGTCTGAGTCGCGCACCAGCCTGAGACTGACGTCACCTCCTCATCTACCCACAGGAAGCTTGCCTCAGGCCACAGGGAGGTCAGCCCGCTCCCCAGGAACAGACTCCGATCAATACAATCTAATACCTCTGATAAGCACAGCCCAGCCCGGCATTCAACAACCTGACACCTAGTCTGTAATTCAATCCGAACGACGAGATAACCGGAACGAGAAACGCGACGAGGGGAAGGAGCAGGCGAGGGAGACGAGGTGACGGAACGAGCCAAAGCAAACAAGGGCATCCACATGGTCCGAGGGCCTCCGTGGCGAAGCGGGGCAGCCGCAGAGCAAGGCGCTGGCGTCGGACAGCAGACTCCAACGAGCAGCGAGCCCCCGGAGAAACCCGGACTCACGGGGAGGCAGGGCAGCGGCAGAAGCCAAGCGCGGCCACCGCAGTAACGCGGCCTGCGTCTGAGCCCAGCGCGCCTAGGATCTCCTCATTCGAGCTCTTTAACCTGGTCTGCACGTCTGGGTTGCAAAGAGAAAATGCAAGGCCGTTAACAAGCACCGCGGGCAGAGGCAGAGCAAGCCCTGGAACCAGCCTCCAGCGCGGCGCCTGTTTTGGAATTACCAGGCTGCGGGTTTAAAATTACCCTGATGGGTGTGCTCAGGGGTCTTATGGACAGGCAGGCAACAGGCAGGGCCAGGTCACTGAGGTCAGACAGCACCGCAAGGAAATGCTAGAAATAGAAAACAGTGTGGGAGAAATGAGTGTGCCTTCCCGAGGCTCTGCCGCGGCTGAGGAGAGAGGGTAGAAACCTCCCAAACTAAGATGCGAACACAAGAAAGAATGCAAACACCAGCCACCGCAAAGGAAAAAGAATCGAATATCCAAGAACTGGAGGCACCAAACGACGCCGTAGATGACCAACGGGAATAAAAGAAGAACCAGGAGGACTGAACATTTGAAGCTGTGACAGCTAGTTGTAGGGTTTCCCAGGATCAGTGACAGCTGCCCCACTATCGAGCCTGGAAGCTCAGAGAACAAGGAGCAAGACAAGCCCCCAAACAACGTACACATGCAGGAGAAGAGGCGTTTCCTGGGATAAAGGGGCTCTCCCTGAGCTGGGTGAGTGTGGGCGCTACATCCCGCAAACAGTGAGTGAAAACCAGTCCGCGTTCCAGGAACCATCTTAGGTCCTAAAGTAAAACAAACAAACAAACAAACAAACAAACAAACAAACAAACAAAAAACAGGTCTGGGGAGAGCAGGACCTTGTCGGGGGTCCAGGGCACGTGTGCTGGGGTCAGGCACGCAGAGGACACCGCGGACCGAAGCTGCCCCCACGGGCTCGAGAGCGGCAGCACGAACCGTTTCCTCAACACCCTGAGTTCGCAGCTGGAAGCCCAGCGGGACGGGCTCCCAGCTCTGGCGCCCTCTCTGACGCTGAGCTGGGACGGTCCCTCGTCAGGCGCACCCCGCCACCGTGCGAGAAAGCGAGGGCGTGCTCCGCACATGTACGAGGACTTGGACAGCATGTACACTCTTAGTCTACCTGTGTCACAGATGACAATTTTTACATGCAATTCTTGAGAACTAGCCTCCGCCCTTGTTTGTTGTTTATTATGTATGAGTATTTTTTAAATTTCAGGAATCCACGTGTCCTGACATTAGATATGATAGACTAAGCTATTGATGTTCTTTTCAGATGCTCTCTTTTTACTAGTTTTCTTTTTAAATAAATCATCTAATTCTCAAAGTATTTTTCTGAGTTTTTTTTTTTTTGTAACTTTAGATTCTGAGAAAGCTTGAAAATGGTACAAAGTCCGAAATATCTTAAAAGGCAGGCAAACAAAAACTGTAACGTAAAGTCCCCATTTTTCACTTTCTTAAGTTAGTCAATAATTATTAGGCAAATACTATGGGATCAGCACTAAATGAAAATAAAATACGGTCTCCCCATGAAAATAAACGGGAAGAGCGGAAGACAGGACTTCCGCGTGCGGGCAGGGACCCCCGGCGTGCGCTGAGCAGCACCCGGGCTCCCTGCTGTGTGCCCTAAAACCAAGATGGAGGCTTGACAGGGTGTTTTCCGTAGCTTGAGCCACAAATCACTGTTTCTGCATGTGATGACCACCCTGGGAACAGACCCAGCATTCGGGGGGAAGCCCTCAAAATTGCTAGTGAGAGTCTAGTCTGCCACCCTCCAAGGTGCGCTGTGTGGCCGAGCGGACGCAGCCGCACGTGGGACCCGGCCCGGCCCGCGGCCCCGCGGCCCCGCGCCCCAGCCGCACGCCGGGTCCCTGCGCGCACGCAGGCTCAGAACCGGCCGACCTAGACCGCTCGCCCCTTTGCCCCTTGGGGGCTCGTGTCCCTAGGCGTCCACTGAGGTGGCACAGCCCCGAACGGAGAGAGGCGGCTGGCTATGATGGGCCAAAGAGCGGACGTTCGGCGGCCCTGAAAGCGTCCCAAACCCGTCTCCCGGGGCCCCGCCGCGCCGCGGCAGCTTTGGCTCCATTCTGATCGTTCCCCGGGAACAGGGGCCCTTAATCGGTCTTGTTTTGGACACTGCGATGTGAGGCTCTCATTGATAGTCAGTGCCGGTCACTTCGGCAGGAAACCCCGTGGGCGGGCCCTGTGGGTGAGGCGCAGACCAGGGCAGCGCAGGGGGGCGGCCCGGACCCCGCCTCTTGCACCGGCCCGCGCGCTCCCCTGGGCGCGGCCTCGGGGGCCAGACCGGGGCGGTTGGGGGGCGCGCGGGGGAACAGCGGCTGAGGGGAGAAGGGCACCCCGGCCATTTTCAGAGAATTAGGCATTTTGCTTAAACTGCAATCAGAACCTTTCCCTCTTCCCCAGCATTTGAAGTCTGTTTGGTATTTACCACAGAGCGATGTTTGAATAACAAAAAGTGGATTTTTTTTTTCAAATTAAAACACCAGGAAACAAAACAAAACAAGATAACCTTACTTTCCAAGGGCAAAGCATTCCAGTTTTACAGACGAATCCTTTGCGGCTTGTACAGTGTCGGGAAAACGCAGTTCAATCTTGGGTTCATACTCCCCCATCACACCTGTCAAATATCAAAAGAGCCAGCGGCAGTTCTGGAGAAGGGGGTTTGCTGGGAAGCAGAAGCTTCGTTCACCGAACTCTGTCCTTCAATTAACTATATCTTGTCCTTCAATTAACAATATTTTTCTACCCTTTAATGAGTGACAGGGAGCCCGAACATGTCAGGATGCTGTTTTAGGGATCTGCCACCCCCCTCCTCCCCGACAAGTGTCTCGGACACACCGACGTGTGGGAGGAGAGCCCCCCCCCCACTCCCCAGGTTCCCAAATCAGCATCTGCAGAGGAACTCGAGTCACCAGTTAAGGACGGGATACACCTCGTATGGAGAGTGCTTCTGAGTTAACGCGAGAGTCTCTCTTCAGAGACCCCCGCGCCTGTGGCCGTTCCTGGTCTCACGGGGCCAGGCTGGCTCAGGAATAAAGGCATTTTCAGTTAACAGTGGCAGAGGTCTGCTGCAGCCTCTTCCTCCAAAGTATCAGTATTTCTGCAACAAAGCCGCTGAAGGAATCACGCTGGTTGGGATAAACAAAGACACAAATATTCTTATGTTGTTTTATTCAGGGTTTACTGCTAAACGAGTTTGCTCTACACTTATAAAACGCATGTTTGTTGTAGCAGTTTTTAAATGTCCAGTAAGGAGCTGCGGGCACGGGCTGAGCCAGGAAGGAGACCGCGGTCTGACTGCTGTGAACGCACTGCCCGCCAGGTGAGCTGTGGCAGTCGGCAGCGTGTGCCTAGGTTTGCCTCGCTTGCTTAATTCATTTAACCGATGACAAGTCGGGGCTCTTTAAAATTTTGATCTTCTTTTTACTTACACACCAAGCACTGGAGTAATAGATTCCTAAAATAAAGGGCTACTGGTGACTGGTAAAATGGCACCGGAGACAAAAATTACCAAATATGTATACACAAATAGAAATGCCTCCTTCCTAAGGTCTTGGTAACTCTGAACATTCAGAAAGGCCACGGTCGAGGGGTAGAAAGTATTACGTTATTCAACTAAAGGGGCGGGTTTTCTGTTTTCTTTTTTCTTGACACCTGGTATTTCCTAAGCGCGTACTTTTACAGTGTGCGATGCTTCTGGTCTTCTGCCACCACCACCGCGTTGAAGGCTGAGAGGGGCGGAAGGATAAAGGAGCTAAGAAGGGGAAAAGCAGAAGCTAAGAGCACACCGGGCAAGCGGGCAAACGTGGTTGAGCGTCTGCGTGGCATTGCCCCGTGAGGCCCCCAGGCACGGCACGGGCTCTCCCGGAAGGGACACGCGGGACGTGCGCATAAAGCAAGCGGCCACGAAACTATGAATTAGGTCCATGCGAACTTCCGGATGGTCAGCGGCTATCAGGCCGAAGCTCCATCACGAGAAGTCCCGGCACACAGCTGGCTTCATAACTCTGGTAGCCGTAATTAGCATTATGTTCTTGCTTTATCGAAACTCCTCAGAGAGGAGATAAACCAGGTGAGGTATTACATTTCAAGTCCAGAATCTGATCATAAAACGCACCAGCAGACTATCAGTGCGTTCCCCACTGTGAATATTTAATTAAGGAATCAGCTGGGGGATTGCTCCACCTGGATGGTTCCTTACATGTTCTATCCTCTCAATCTTATACCGGCGACGGCTTGATTAAGCTACACAGCTCATGAGAGGCCAGTCGGACGCTTCTAGGGCTACAAGAGCGTGAGTCTCGGGTTTCATTCCTCTTTGCAACGCTCGTAATTAAGGCTGGCTCGCTCTGCTTCCCTGAGATGTGAATCTTTTCCTGCTCTGCCAGCCAGGTAAATAAAAGGTGAATGAGAAAGGCAAAAATGGAAAAGGCAGGCATTAAAGAAAAGCCGTATCATACGTTCATGAAAAAGCTGTTAATTAATAAGTTTGGCAGCGCCCACGCATGCACACGCACACGCCTGCCCTCTGGACGAACAGCGTTGTTTATAGAATATTCCCCAAGTGTTCCCTAAGCAGACACGTTGATTGGCGCCTGAGCCAGGGCAGAGACGGCGTCGCCTGCCCAGGATCATGCACCCTGTACCATGTGGGTGAGTCATGGAGGTATTTGTTCCAGTTTTGAAAGGCCCTGATTTTCGTCCCATCTGTGAACGGACCGTCGGCTCCGAGGAGGCGTGGCGGCCCTGACCGGAGGGAAGCGGAATGCACGCCGCGGACCCAGCGCGCTCCCGGGGCAGCTCGCGGTCTTACCGTCGGGGCGCTGCACCAGCGGGGTGGGCGGCCCTTGCACGCGCCTCTGCGCTTCCGTGTTCGTGACGGAGCAGGTGTAGTTGCCCACGTCGGACGGCTCCACTTTGGCGATGTACAGGTTGCCCGTCTCCTGAGAAACAAACCGCCTGCGGTCCTCTTGGACATGCAAAGGGTTATCGTTGAAGGTCCAGGCATAAGATAAATCTGGAAAACAGGAAAGAGGAGGGTTATCCTTACCGGCTTCACTCTTCCCCGCCAGCCCGGGGCCCTGCGTGGCCATGATGAGACTCGGGCTGCGCCCCCGCGTAGTCCGGTTGGGGCCCGTTGTCCTGGTGTGATTGGAATAGTCTCTCGTATTTAAAGAAGTCCCCGTTCGGATGAGAAATGAAAGGGTCATCCTGCCTGTGATATCCCCAAGGCACAAGCAGGAACGGCGGCCACGGGGGGACGAAGGCTGCCCGATGCGTCACGCGACGAGCAGAGGCACAAACTGCGGGGGCCACGCAGAGGACAGGCCCGCGCAGCCTGAGGGGTTGCAGGACTCGCCTCGGCCTCGGGCGGGGGGCGGGCTCTGTTTCTGTGAGCGGCCGCCTCTGCCCCCGGGCGCCTTGGTCTCCCTGGGAGTCGGTGCTTTAGGTCGAGCAGCACAGACTCAGTTCACGTCCTCTGTCTGGAACCGTGCTCCGACGTCCCTGCCCTGCGCCCGCTCGCGGGATCTTTGGCTCCTTCTGCAAGTGCCCCCGCCCCGGGCCTCCCACCATCGCGCGTGGCCTGCTCCCACGTTTCCTCACGGGGGTCCTTCGCTGCCTCCCTGCCAAGCCTCTCGCCCTGTCTCCACCAGAAAGATGTTCGGAGGGGTTTTGTTTGAAACCACACAGCCGCAGAGACCACCGGTTTGTCTCCGCTATAAAGAGGGGGGGAGATGCAGTGCAGGCCCCCCAGGTGTCGATGACTCTGCATCTTTTGAGCCTTTTGTGACACAAAGATGATCCTGAGCAGATTTCCTGGGCCACAGCTCAGCTTCGGGATCTCACTCCACGGCTCCTCAGAAGGGAAACTGGCGTCGGCTCTCAGAAGGCCCGGTGGCCCCTTTCCCTTAACAGGGGTTATGGGTCGCCCCGCGTGCCCCCCCATCCTTGTTTTCTCTGTCCTATGATCTTGGGACCGGCGGCAGGAATACCCATCCCTCCCCTGGCAAATTCCTTTGCACCTCAGCTGCTAAAAGCGTGTGCCCTGCCTCCACGTCCTCCAGCCCGGGAACACTGAGAAGCCGCGTGAAGAACGTGGTCCAGGAACAGGAACGATGACACGAAGAGTGAAAGGGAAAAGAGCCGCGGGCTGCCGCGCCCGCTCCGCCAGCCCCGCCGCTTGTTGGGGGCAGCCGTGTACCCTCCCCGCGAGGGGGGCACTGGGCGTCTTCCAGCGCCGCAGCGGGGACGCGAGGCGGGAGGAGGACTAGGCCCCGGGCCTTCGCCCCGGAACCCTTCACACAGCCCCGCCCCCACAGCCTCTTTTCCTTCCGAGCATCGAGTCCCCCTTTTCCAGGTTGGTTAGTACTCGCCATGGCTCCCCTTCCTCGCCCTCAGACCCCCTGCCACCCCCCGGCTCCGCGCAGGCCCAGTCCTTCCCGTCTCGGGGACAACTGTTCTGCCCCCAGAAGCGGGGTCCTTGTGGGGTCGTGAGGAAAGCACCGAAAGGACCCGCGAGGGAGGAGGCGGCCTGGCGGGAAGGTTTATTTCGGTGACAACGGAGGGCAGCCGCGGGCGTCCATGTCTCGTCTCCACGCACCTGCTCCCAGAGGAGCCCAGTCCCGTCTTCATCGGGCCCAGAAACGGGCCGGAGCCCCGACACTGTGTGCCACAGGCCCAGTCTCCGCGTCGGTCCCGCCCGGCTAGCGGCCGGTCCGCGGCTGGCGCTCCGGTCAGGCCTGTGCGGTCCGCTACGGGCCCGGCGGCTGCGGAGAGAACATGTGCACGAACGGGGCGCACGCCCGGGACGGGCCAGGCACGGGGCTGGTCTGCTGGGCCGGCCGCGGTATCTCGGCCTTCGGAGGAGCCGGGCGCGTTCTCAAACCAGCCAGTCAACTTCCCAGGCTTCTGCTGGCTTCCGAGGGGTCTGCCCCTGAACAATCTATGTCCTCGATCTTCCCTGCAGGTGGTGTGTCCCTTACCCAATCCGACCCTTTTCCGGCCTCTGTGGTCGCCGCCGCCGTCGCTTCTACTGCGCATGTGCTCACCTCCCCCTGCACCCCCGGCACTTCTGCACCGGGGCGGGGGCACTTCCTACACAGGGCAGCAGGGGGCGCCCATCCCCCAGCGGGGCCACGCGGGGCCCCCTGGGCTGTGGGAAGCGGCAGCGTCCCGGGGGCGCAGCCTCACGCCCCCCAGCTGACTACGCTTTCTAATGCCCGATCCCCCGCCCCCTTTATTAATATTTAGCTGCCTGCGCCACCAGCCCCTCGTCCTCCGTTCCCTCCCGACTCAACTGCCTGCTCTGAGCACGGTATCCCCGAGTCTTGTAGACTCACAGGTTAACCTGCCATTCAAAATTACTCCGTGTTTACACCTAACACCAGCAGGGAATGCGACACATTCATGACGCCTCTAGCAAGTAATTCACTCTGAATGGCCTCTCCGGAGCAGAGATGTTAAAACACGTGTGCGTCGGAGTGGCCGGGGGGCCTGGCGACCCAGAAACTTCTGGGCTGCGCCCTCCAGGGCTCCTTCTGTAGGCGGGAGAAGCCAGGCTTCCCCTGCGGACAAGCTCCCAGGCGACGCTGACTCTGGCGCCCAGAGCGCCGCCTCGACAATCGCCGCCGTCAACGGCAAACTCGGAACGAAGCAGCGGGTTGGAGGGAACAATTCCCACTCCGGGAACAAGCGCCTTCGGGAGCAGGCGCCCGGGGTGGAGGCATCTAGGACGGAAGGGACCCAGAGGCCTTCCGCCCCGCCTCCCCGTTTCCCAGGTGAGAGAGCAGAAGGGAGGCGGCAGTGCCACCTGCGACCGGAAGGCGGGGGCCCGGGCGCCGCTCTGGGGCAGCTGAAGGGGCGTCGCGTGGCTGCCTCTCGCTGGGGCCACCTCTGCCCCCACGCCCACGCCGCCAGCTCGCAGTGGGGGCCTCCTCTGTTTGGTTTCATCACCAGCCGCTGCGTGCTCAGTTTGTGTATTTTTTAATGGGGAAAGAAGGAAAAAAAAAAAAATCCCTGCAAATTGGAAGTTTAAAATCCTTCCCATTTGGCTTTCCTTAATTAAATGTATAATTCATGAACCGCTTCACTTGAAACCATTGCATTTTTAAGTATTTCTGCCACTGCGCACGCCATTTCTCTGTTATTAATGGCCGTGGTGCCTTTGCCGGTGACGATTCAGCAGTGTCGTTAGAGCCTGATGGCAATCGGTCCTTCCTGAAGCGCCTCTGCAGCTTCGCGTGACAACAGCCTCCACAATTTTATTATCATCCGAGCGGCAGCTCTGCGGGAAGCAATTGGAGCCTCTATCTGCTGCCCTCTCAAGCACGCCGCGAATCCCATTTCCCCCGAGTGCGATTATGTTTTGACATCTTTTACAGCCCTGTATCTTGTACTGTGATATTTAAAACACACACACGGAAGATATATGCAATTAGACCCATTATAGGGGCTGTCATTTTTATTGGAGGGGCTGCATCTCGTGCGCGAAGGGGACCGCAAGTGTCGCGCGCGACCCCTCGACGTTTGCCGGCTCTGAAGAAGGGAGAGCAACACAGGCGGTTGTTTCCTGAAGGAGGAAAGAGGCGAGTGAGGACTTCGAAGCACAGTGCTCAGATTTAGTGGAAACCCCCCTTTGGAACATTCCAGAATGAGTGTGCTTGACTGCAAGCCTTGTGCAGCGCTCCAGGGGTAGCTGCAACGGGCGTTCGGCTGTAAATCACCGTTTTGCCGGCTCAGCTGGCAAAGCCTTAATCCAGGGAAAATCATTCCTTTCCTGGGCGGAAGCCGTTAATATTGGTGCTGAGCCTGATTACGGCCCGGCACCTTTACGACCACTCCAATCCGAGTCCCCATTTGTTCCGCAATCACCGCCTGACCACCTAGATTTTATAGATCCCTCCTGATTTACGCCCTCCTGGCCGGAATCCTGGACGCGCTGCTGCACAGCCTGCAAAGGGCCGTGAGGGGAGGGCCTCCGCGCTCCTCTCGCTGCCACGTAGCGAGGTGCGGCCGCGTGCCGGCCGACGCCACCGCATGAGGAGGGAGCACGCGGCCACTGTGGGGGGAGCTGCTCAGGGACCGCGGTCGCTCAAGGTGAGGGCAGGTGGTGGAGGTCCGTCCCGTGAAGGTGAGACGTGGGCTCCCACAGTGGTTTCCAGCCGGGGGAGACTCCCTGCCAGGGAATGATCGGGAAAGTCCTTGGGCATGTTTCACCCCTGCTGTAGGGGCTACGAGGCCAAGGACGCCGCTGCACGGCCACCCCGTTCAGGGCATCCCCACCCCAGGGCACATCCTCCGACACGGTCACCGGTGCCCCTGGAGCGGCCCGGGCCTTGCGGGCGGTCACAGGCTGTCGCAGGGCAGTGCGGCGGGACGGGCTGGGCAGCGGGGACACTGTCGCTGGGAGGGAGTGGCGTCTGACCGTGGAGGGGGCCCCCAGCTCGGGGCGTGGGGCACCAGCTCTGGGGCGTTGGTCAGCCGCAGGGACCCGGTCACTCAGGAACATGGACTGTGTCCCCGTGGGCTTGATTCAGCATCCACTTAGGTTACGCCAGACAAGCTTAGGCGGCAGAGCAAGTGCTGTGCTGTCCGGACAGGATCACCTTGAACTCCAGACCCGTGATCTCAGGCACGTCGACTCGAGCCTCTTTAACGCCCGTGCACGCTTGGGGGCGTGGAGAGGATCTCCGGGACGTGTTCCAGAGCCGAGCCACAACCGGCGTGTGCGCGGCGGGCCGCGGGCGCGCCCTGTTCCGTCCGGTCCCCGGGTGCCGATCGCCTGCCCTGCACGCTGACGTCCCGGCGCGGTTCTCCAAGCCGGACCCTTCTCCCTAGACGTCGTAATCCAGCTGCCCGCCCCAAAGTGCCACTCACAGCTGATGGACACCCGGAAGCCATCATGTCTCAAAACAAAGTCCTGATTTCCGCATTGCCAAACCCGCGGACCCGTGTTGGGGATCATCGCGGTGAGTCGCGCCCCGTCTTCGGGCTGCTCCGCCCGCGGCTTGGAGCTGC